ACACACACAACAACACACACACACACACACACACACACACACACACACACACACAAAATACAAAATAATACAGAATAAAAATTTTAATCTACATTATAATCTTGGTTCACACAAAAACGTCACATCTTTAATTATTGATGCATTATTCCACGTACAGTGACACGCAAATTAACAAACTGGAAACAGAATTTGACGTTGAAAAGTTTATTATTATGCATGCAGTGATGCGGCAGAATTATATGCGAATCCAAGCGTAATAAACTTCAATGACGTTAAAATATTGATCGTAAAGAAGCTCTATATGCAAAATACCGAACTGTCGATAATTTGTTATCATCTCTATTGAGTCTAAATGACGCGATTTTACGTTCTCGTCAATCGCGCCCTCGGAGAATCGCAATCGCGACATCGGAACATAAAAGTCCACGTGGAGCGCAAACACCGCATATCAGTGGACATAAAAATCCGCGGCATCCGGATTCCGCCGCGAGCGACTGCTATTCCGGTGCATAAAAACCCGGATTATGTCATTATCATGGTAATTATCGCGCCGGCGATGAAATAACGTTGCGTTATCGGCAATGCCCGAGCGGCTCCGTTAAAGTAAGAACAGCCGTTAATTCGTGATGTGAAAAAAAATGAACATGCTCAAAGCGATATCGATTTCTCAGACCGGCACGACGTTGCCTAGTATTATGTGCTATTTTACAGTCGCTGAGATTTTTATAGTACACACGCTCTTGCACTGTGATTGTATGGAATATCCAGATATACATATACATATATAAAATGCACGGAGTTAACCCAGGGGCACGAACGTGCGTGGAATTTTGGAGCGCAACGGAAGACGTTCTCCAGCGTCCAATTATAGGGGCAGTTACAGTACCGGCAGTTACGGACTACTTTATGCACCGTGGCGTTGCGTAAAGTCGGGGTTGGGCCGAGAAAGGCGGCGCGGCGGCAGCGCCTTGCGAAAACCGAAACGTGCTGCGAATCGTTAGTTAAGTTGCAGTTTTGTACAATTCCGCGCATGTTTATCGTCCCGGCATGCTGTCGCGAAAAATGGACCGTTAATTTTTTTTTTAATGTAGCCGAACTTAGATTGTAAGAGAGTCGGATGATTTTTATGTAAAAGCAATTTGTCCTTTAAATAATGATCTCTTTAATTAGAATAGGCGATACCATTAATGATGTCACTGCTATAAAATCGGTTTTATTTTAAAAATAGACTGTTTTAAACAATATAATTGTGATAATTCTAAAATTAGTTTAATTTTAAAAAATACTATTATATTTTAATAGACGATATTTTTATATCTCTAATTTTTATATGTATACCTTTAAACAACTTTTAATATCTCATTAATTTTTCTAACAATAAGTCAATATATTAAATTTGTTACAAAACATTTCTGAAAATTTTATAATACCAATTTAAAAAGAAAAAGAATCAATTTATTAAAGCTTTTATACTTCCTAATAGTTTATTTAAATTTTCAAAAACTGCAAGTAAACAGTAATCACAAATAAATTTGATCGAAGCAATCGAATCACTCATTTTGAACTGACTGTTAATTAACGGTCCAAGGGGAAAATATGTGAATTATTATATCAGAAGAAAAAAATTCCCAAATTGTGTGTGTTTGATAACTTTCTAATTTTTTGTAATTCCGAATGAGAGATAAGAGAGATAAAGAACAGATGATATGGGTAGAAAAATTGCAAATGTCGTGCCAATTTTCGCGGTCCGTTTGTAACGAATCACAAGGGTAGTAGATTGCGATGCTCTCTGAAGAGCGATACGCTTTGTCTGGCGCAGGCGTTCGATCCTTGGCAGCCTTTTCGCATTGTAAGCGAGGGTGACAGAGGAAGGGGAACGATAAAATACTACACGGTAGTAAAATAGGGCGCAGTAAAGCGAACTGCGGAAGTCCCTATAAAGACAGAGTGAAATTAAATGTTCGCCTTTAAAAAGGTGGTTTAACCTAATACATGTAGAGAAGATGCTGGAAACAATGGCGTAACTTTTAACTGTCAGAATCCAATATACGTATATTTACTTGTGAGAAACGAAATTTGTTTGAACAAAATTGCTATTGCAATTTTTTAAACAAATCTGTGGGTTTTGTATACATTGTAAAATTCAAGTTTTCATAAAATTCATTGAACAACGTTAACCGATTAAAAATTTATTGTTTCGCCTAAATACATAATATGTAACACACTATAAACAGAAAGACAGTTTTACATTAGCAAGTTTTTATTTTTAAAGAAAAAAATTGTTTTTTCATATTTTTTCGTAATCCCAATATTTTCTTTAAAAAAAAAAAACATATTTGTGAGTGAAACCATTCTCTCTTTTTCTCTTTCTCTCTTCCCCCCTCTCTCTCACTCTCTCTTTCTCTTTCTACCTCTCATATTGTATTTATTTTAATTTAATTATTCTGAAAAAACATTGGAATTGATTAGAAGATTTCTTTAGAATATTTCTAAATTCTATCGGGCTTACGCCACTGAACTTTTGCCACAGAGCGCTCTTAGTATTTCTAGGATTAAGGATAAGATTTTACGTTTCACCGGTCCAGCAAAAGCTCGTAAGAATTTTCTACCCCTGTTTTACGAAAACTTGCTTATCCATAAATTCATATCTCGCGTATTATCAATGTTAAAGATTTCGATATATTAGCGTACCGTACACAACAGCAAATCCTGTATCTGTGTAACACAACGAAATGGGATGATATCGCGTATAATATCGGTCTACAGACAGTGTTTTACCAGTAAGTAATGCCTGGCGATATAACAGGTTGTTTAAGGAATCTCTCTAGTCGATCTCCCCTTATCGAAAATTTAAACGAGAGCCCACCAATCTTTGTAAAAATCTTTTAATACTCGCAATTAGTATCTTGACAATTAAAGTAGTGTGCCCTGATAATTAAATCTCAAGTTTCCTTCAACTCCTATACACTGCCGTTACAGTTTAGACGCGCAAGTTGAAACCCTTCGTTCGTTAATCCGTAATTTGTAAATTAATTCAATTTTGTCCTTTTATTTTTTTTCAAATAACTGAATTTTTAATCGTACGTAGATAATTATTTCGCGAAATTAATTACTCGTAGCATTTAATCTCGGGATTCAGCCCGACATTTTGTTGACAAGTTCCTGCAGGTATTTCGACATTTTCGAGATGAAAACAAAACAAAATCGTCGATTACTAATTAAATCTTTGAAATTAATTACTGTTTTATTTCTTCCTCTGGGAGAAATCCTCTGCGAGGGTCAAATAAATTGTGTATACACAAAACTAATCTTGTGAAATCCCATAAAATAGACGCTTTAATATCTTTGTCTCTCAGGTCTCTCTCTCTCTTTTTCTCTCAGAAGAAAAAGAGGGGAAAAACCTTTGATTCTCGAGACTAAATGCCGATGCTCCCGGAAGGAATATCATGGCTTAGGGGCGGGTTAACATGTAAATTACGTTATCGTCGCGTCAACGACGGCGGCGGGGTTGTTTGCACGAGCTACTTGGAAAGCGTACACGCTTATTAAAGACCGGCAATAAAGTTGGCGCGATGACCACCAATTAAGAACAAGATATCTACTAGCGACGTTGCTGAAACACAGAAAATCGCGCTTTATCACTGATCTTGCCTCCGATAAATCTCAAAGTGATTTTCCGCGTTTCTCCAAATTATACTCTTCCGAGAGCGGAGCGTGAAAGCGGAGACGACACGGTGGCGATCGGAGGGAAACTGGGATCAGAAAAAAACGGAAAAAATTCGGATATTCGGTAACAGCTTTTACATCGTAATAGCTTACTGAGCCGTGCGACAGAAATGCTTTTAACGA